CCCCCGCCCCCCTTTTCAGCTTCAATCAATCTTCACCGTCTTGGAGTCAGAGAACCTTTCCAAGACAGCCTTCCTGTTCATTAAAGCCATTAACATTTTTCATCCATGATTCCCTGCATTGCAACCCCGCGTGGTCTCTGCCTGCATCAACATCCCTCACAGGTCACATGCGGTCTTCACATTGTCACTACAGTTGCAAGTCAGCAAGCCCAACCAAAATATAAAACTGTCCCAAAAAGGTTGATCCGAAACGTCATATAATAAGATAACAGTAATATGTAATATCAAAATATATTGAGCAATGTTTATGAATTAAGGGTTATGTTCGGCAACAGGTGGCATTTTTTTTTTTTTTTTGAATGGAACGTCAGCGATAAATTACAAAGCACGGCAAAATCTGTATTGTGCAAGCTTTTATAGGTCAAACTAAAAAACAAAAAAGAAAAATATCTCAAAAACCTGATGGGCTGGAAAATAAGTAAAAGGCATTTTTAAAATCTGCACCAGAAACTTTGCTCAGGGACACCGAGCAAACAAGAAATATCTAAATTAGACTTGCAAAGCACCAAATTTTCACACCCTCAATCTGCGGGGGTCTAAAAGTTGTACAGCATTGGGGACAATCCATATTTTTTTTTTTTGGGAGGTAAAATACAGATGGTAAAAAAAAAAAAAAAAAAAAGAAAGAAAAAAAAAAAGACCTAATATGTTTGTTTTTGTGTCTTTCTGAATAGGTGAATGCCTTCTTGTCCTTTGTGGTGCCCATGGTGGCCATTTCGGCACTGAACGGGGTCATCGCCAATCATCTGTTGCGAATGTTCCATGAGGCCGAGCAAGACAACCGTGTCTGCATCGTTGGCGGCAATCCCACCATGCTCAACGTCTCGGTGGAACCCAATCGGGCTCAGTCACTTCGCCATGGGGTTCTTGTTCTGCGTAAGTCTTGGCTTCATTCCGTGACGGATCGGGTGGGAACGTACTGATATCCGTTTTGCACATACTTTAACCTCCAGGACTCATTAGTCCTTGTACCCCAACTGCTAGTGACTAAACTAAGCAAGATTGACTTTACTGCATTTTTTTATCCTCTGTCATCCCTGACTGAGTGACAGGAAATTTTCTTGTGGCGTCGATTGTGCTCTCACCAAATATATTCAATCTATCAACCACACATATAAACTCTTTTCCACCACCGATGTCAAAGTGAGTCCAACCAGGCAGAAATCTCGTGTGATTACACGTCATTCCACCCAAATGAAGAATATCCATACATCCATCCATTTTCTGATCCGCTCATCCTCATCAAGTGCTGGAGCCTATCCCAGCTGTCTTCGGGCAGTAGGCGGGGGACACCCTGAACCGGTTGCCAGCCAATCACAGGGCACACGTAGACAAACAACCATAGACACTCCCAATCACACATCGGGATAATTTAGCGATCCATTAACCTGCCACGCAGGTTTTTGGAATATGGAAGGAAACCGTAGTACCCGGAGAAAACCCACGCGGGGCCCAGGAAAATATGCAAACTCCCCACAGGAAGTCCGTAGCCGGAATCGAACCCTGCACCTCTGCATTATGAGGCCGATATCAACGTGATTCGCAGTTGTACATCACGCATCTCATTTGTGACGAGCGACAAGACCTGTGGTGATGCTGCCTTGCGTCTTAACACTGCTTCCGTCACAACTTCACTTCCTGCGTATGTTCTTTTCACGCCTCGAATTAACCCCCGCCCCATAAAAAGGCAACAGTCATCTGCAGGAGGAGAGGAAGGCGTGTGATAACTGAGTGGCAGTGAGAATCGGGAAAAGCTGAGCGCGCAGCTTGCTGACATTCTGCAAAAGGCTGCAGACAAATGAGACCTCTCACCTGCCCTCGACGTCATGATGAACGTCTGCCTCGGGGAGGCCAGGAAACACAATCCAGACACATTTAATACTCAGTTGAGGTCCCCTTTTGCACGGTGAATTATGTTTGAGGGGTTTTCAATGCAACATTTCTGACTCATCAGGGAGAGACAGTTGACCGACTGACGATTTACGTCCTCCAGGTATAACAAGCTTGCGTTCCATTCAGTGATTCAAATAATCGATTTGCATTTAATGCCAAGCAGCTCATTCTTACTTAAGCTTATTTCACCCGTGCTGCCTTTCATTTCATTTTCATTTTTTTTTCATGTATTTTTTTTATAATAGAGTGTCATGGATTTTCCACTTCAGGCCGGGTCCGTGGCGGCAGTCATTCATTGAGGTATTAGATTGTGTTTATTGGTTGTGCAGGCTGTGCTTAAAAACCACGAGGAAGATAAATGTCGGCGCGAAACAGGTTTGGCAAAAATACGCAAGGTGGACGACACAATCTCATGGAGTTGTGGTTACACATTCAAGTGTTGACATGATGAGTGAGGAATTTCTAAAAACACAATATAATTTATACATTTAAATGTCAGTATGTTGTTGATGGATTGGATTGTAGAATGTTTGTATAAACTCAGGAATCTACAACTTATAAAACATTGGTGCATTGGGAGCATTTGGTTTCATCTGCTAGGCTGTCAGACTGCTTTCACATCCTAACATGACTCAAAATTATTCAATATTTTGTGGCATTTAAAATGAATTTGGGCGGCCCGGTGATCCAGTGGTTAGCGCGTCGACTCACAGTGCAGAGGTACCGGGTTCGATTCCAGCTCCAGCCTTCCTTTGTGTTCTCCCCGCGCCTGCTTGGGTTTTCTCCGGGTACTCCGGTTTCCTTCCACATTCCAAAAACATGCATGACAGGCTGATTGAATACTATGAATCATCCCTAGGTGTGAGTGTGAGCCCGGATGGTTGTTCGTCTCTTTGTGCCCTGTGATTGGGTGGCCACCGGTTCAGGGTGTCCTCCGCCTGCTGCCCAAAGACAGCTGGGATTAGGCTCCTGCAACCCTTGTGAGGATAAAGCGGAACAGAAAATGGATGGATGGATGGATAAAATGAATATTCAACAGAATCGTGTCACTGGACTGCTTTGACATATTATTCGTGCCATTTCAAAACGCTAACGTAGGCAGCCGTTCTCAATTGCGTGTTGATTACATTGACAATTGTTTCAGGTCTAATGAGTTAAAGAACAATAAAATGAAATACGTAACACTCAATCGTATCCCCCATGATTTTTTTTTTTGGGTTACATTTTCTCTCTTAAATGGCTGATGTTTCCTATGCATTCTTGCTGTTTAGGAGCGGTGGTTATAGCCTTCGTGGTCTGCTGGCTGCCTTATCACGCCCGCCGCCTCATGTTCTGCTACGTTTCCGACTGGTCCGAGTGAGTGATGGGCTCTTTTTCTCCTTGTGTATTAGCAAGCTTTGCATGCCTGAACGTGACCACATTACATACCAATATTTAAGCACGTATCGGCTGTAGGCCCATATTGGAAGGCCGTCAGTTGAGAGAATTTGCCAATGAGACAGTTCATGTTGTTGATTGGATTACCTCCTTTTAAAATTCTCCACCAGGCTCGTGTTCCTTCTCCCATGTTGAATGATGAACATTTATAACCCTCCTGTTAACCTGAAATTTGCATACACCTTATATTTTTGGGGTCAATTTCAGCAGAGTTTACTTGTCAGATACGATGTTTGTTTGTCATTGAGCTGAACAGCACATTAAGTTAAAAAAATATCCCAACCATTGACCTGTAAATTGTTTTCATGGACAATGAACACAATCCCAAATGAAATAGTAAGGACGTGTTTTTTTTTTTTTTGTGTGTGTGTGCGCAAGGAGTAGAAAGTACAGATATTTGCGAAAGTAGGCTGAAAATAATTACTCCAGTAAAGTATAGATAACCAAAATTTCTACTGAGGTACTTAATACCTCTGGTAAATAGTAAGCTATTTTACATTTTGGAAGAAATTCAACACCACAATGTTCACTTCGTCATTTCGTAATTAGTAGGAAAGATCACTTAACTCCCAATTCACAGAAAAATTAAAAAACATTTTGTATATGCGCAGAAGGCTATGTTTTTTTTTGGGGGGGGGGGGCTTGGAGTACAGTATCTGTTCCATATGAACCAATGTCATTTTATTAGTTGCTGCTGGAAATTGGGTCGTAAAGGTTGGAAATGACTTTCTCCTGGGTAATAAAAGCCTGGACAAGCTCACACCCATCAGAGCTCTCGTTATCATCCAGCAGATTGTTTTGCAATTTTGGCAGCGAGTTTTAGCTTTGTATTTATTTGTGGACTGGACCGATAAATGAATTAACAAATTTCTTGTTTCATGAATATTAATCCACTTCAAATTTGTTACGCATATTTAGCCTGCGCCTCGCAACAGGCTTGTACTGGTTGCAAAAATGTCCCATGGGTGTGAATGTGAGTATGAATATTGTTTGTCTGAATGTGTCCTGGCTCCAAATCACCTGCAACCCTAATGAGGAATAAGCGGTATCGAAAATGGATGGATGGATAGCATTCATTGTTTCTGGACAATGACAGAATGTAAAGATGGGCTGAGTTGCAATGAGATGGGAGACCGAATTGTATTAATTCCCACGTAAAGTAGAAACTTTAAAATGGGGTGTCGGGGGTGATCCAGAAAGTAACTGACTCCTATCCTTCTATGTTTCATCCCAGTAGCCTGTACGACTTCTACCACTACTTCTACATGCTGACCAACGTCCTCTTCTACGTCAGCTCGGCCATCAACCCCGTCCTCTACAACTTAGTTTCGGCCCCCTTCCGCCAGATCTTCTTCTCCACGCTGCGGCACTTCTGCATGCCGTGCCATCACTCCCCCAGGAGACGCCCCGGCCCTCTGACTCGACATTCTCTCAGCATCTCCAGCAACCACACTCTCTCCACCAACATCATCAAGGAGACCGCCTACTGATTCCATTTGAGCGCGTTGAAATACAAAAGCGGAAACACCACCACCACCATTTGCCATTTTATGATTATGTGCATGGATTTGGAGACGATCCAGAACTTGGACCCTCAGTGACAAAAATTGTGACATAAACATCTGATTGCGCGTGTGTTGCTAACAACTGAACAAGAACTTCAGCAATGATAGTTATGCTAATATAATAGCAGCTGGTCCCCGTTATATACAAGAAGTCAATCAAGTTAAAGATCAAGGAGTTGCGACAACAGAGGCGTTATTTTCATTACAATACAGCATCTGCACACAATACACAATGTAAATCTTATGACATTTAATACACATTGTGGTAGATTGAACCATCACACTTACCGTAATTACAGAAACGGGTCACAATCAACGGTACGTTGCTTTCAACATTCATAAAAATAAAACAGTTACATAGTTGTAAGGATCTCTTTTGAAACACAGACAGCATTTGTTGTTAAAAAAAAATAATTAGAGCTTGATTTGCCCCATTTTGTTTGATGCAACTCAAGCGCATGAAAAGCATGTTTGAAACATGAGTAAATGCTAAAGTCTAAATGTTAAATAAAGTAACATTTTATAAAAAAAAAAAAAAAAAAAATCTCCATTTACCAGTAACAAAAGTTTCAAGGAAAAGGGTTGAAAGGCAATGCTAATGAGCACATGCTAGCTGTGGCAGCTGTTATGCTAACTATTCAAAAGCTTTCTGATAAAATGAGAAAAAAAAAACAATGAGTGATGTCTTTTTGGGATAATATGAGTCAAATAACAGTAAAGTAAATGTCCTCCAATTCTGGAATGATACATGCATGTCAAAGTAGTGCATAATACAACACCCTCCACTGTACATTGTAAAGTTATTGCTCACTCAACACACAAACACAAACAGCAAGACAACTAATTAGTTGCTGGAAAGAAAAAAAAAAAGACGGTTGCCACTTCCTGCCACCTTTCACCTTTTTTCCCCACTTTGGCACCCATCAAATAAAAATTGTCATCTTTTGGGAGTGAAGCAGTCTTATATACTGGGCGTATTACTTTTACATAATTATACTGAATGTTAAGATGTTATTCTTTGTGAGAAGAAAGAAAAAAGAAGGCTGTAAATGTCCTATTAATGAAATGCAAATGTTGTAAACACAAATTCGCACTGATGTAAAATTATGCAGACCTGCTTGTTGCCGTACAGTGTAAATGATTGTCTAGTTTTGTCCAAATCTGACGTTTTTTGGGGGATTATGGAGATAAATGTGTGTTCCTGTTGTGTCTCTGACTCCATACTGAATCAAAAGTGCAATTTACTGTTGTTGCCTCTCTGTAGTATATTGAAATGATTTATTATGTTTAATGTATCCACTGATGTCTCCCTACATTATTTTGTGTCATTTTATTATTTATGAATGTAAATTCAAAAATTGACCATTTCATTAATGAGGTTATTCCAAAAAGGCTGTTGACTTAAATCACAGTAAACTTAAGATGTTTTTTCGCCAGACCGTGTCTGGGCTTTTATTTTTCAAACATTTTACTGGTGACAAGTACTACCTGGGTTCTGAAATTATACTTATTTGTTTATCTTTATTTCATATTTGTACAATATCGGGATACAGAACACCCGACCTTAACTTAAATGGGATTTTTTTTTTAAAAAACATACCGTGATGCTGGAGATTTATTAAGGGTACAATTCAGTGACGAGATGTAGATTTTGATACCTGGACCTAAGAGCCCTACTTAATCCACCTCTTAATACCAACACTATCATGTCACATTTATAGAAACCATCAATATTTCTCAACAATATTTCTCCCTTGTTCATTGTCTGCAATAGTTCAGACATGACAAAACATACAACATTTAAATGAAATGCTGATAAGTAGATGTATTAATGTGTGCAGATTGCTACAGACGTGTTTTGATAGTCAAATTTGTCTTGCTCTGACCAACCAGAGGACAGGACCATGCTAACGTGTCATGCTAACTGTCTCGTTGCTAATATAGTTTGAGTCGGCATTACTGATTATCATTTTGATATGACTGCATTACATATTGATAAGATAAGAAAATCTTTACTGTCTCACAATGGAGAAATTCACAATCTACAGCAGCAAAATTTGGAGGGAAGAAAGTAGAAAAAAAAGAGGCTGATATCTGAATTTTAGCATCTACAGATATGGAGTATTTGGTGGTAACAATCTGTTAGTCGTGGTAAATAAAACTAAAATTGTTTTAGGTTTTGTTTTATGGAAGTGCAGTATAGTTTCAATTGTGTCACGCCATTCTTTTAGTACACTCATATGAAAGAAATTGTTTTCAGATGATTCACCATCAGATGATTCACCGTCAGTCGCCCACTAACGATCTCACACAGCCGTATAAATGGAGTTTGATTTCATTTCGTAATGAGCAAGCAAAGGGCATGAACCGTGCCTCTTCTGCAGATCCCCCCCCCCAGCAAGCGTTCACATCGGCAGTCAGGACATTGAAAGGTGTACAAACACACACTTAGCACAGCAGGCTGTGACCTTTTCTGGCATACACTCCTGACAACCGATAGCAGTGGTCTTAAGAGAAGAATTGCACTCAGCAAGCCCATGGATGCAGCTCTTCAGCAGCCATGTGCTGAGGGATTAAAATTTGGTCTGTTGGGCGCACCTATGTACAATTTGCAAACACAAACCAAAAACTAAATTCAACCTTTTTTTTTTTTTTTTTTATAAACACAAACACTGATTCATAAACTGCGTACTGTACTTGCTCCTCTGGTGTAGCAGTAGGACACATGTCGCGCTTATTGATGATGTCAAGAAGAAGCCGTCAGCAAACTAAACAAAAGGTAAACATAAACTCAAAGAGTTCATACTATTTAGTTTTTTTGTTTTGTTTTGTTTTTTACACAGCAGAAAGATGAGTAACCATTTGATTTTCTTGGGTATTCCATTTATTACATGTTGTGTTTATGTTAATGCTACAATTGTCTTATGGTTTAAAATGACCGTTTTGTGTTTTCTATTAGCCCATGTTCGGAATTCCCAATTGTATGTTAGCATTCAGCATGTATCTCACTGAGTGGCGCATGTTTGGGACTGTGCGCGCACGTAGCGAATGTTTTTGTTTTCTTCAGAGTTTGTTCACGGTCGCACGCGGCTGCAAAGACGTTCGCCAATAGTTGAACCGGTCTTTTCATCACAAAAAAATTAAACTAAAGTGCATTTTTGATTTTCGCAATTTGTTTCGCAGAAATCAGAAAATAACGAACTACTCTTGAAACACCTCTTTTTCCTCAGTAAAATGGACACGCCCCCATGATTCCCCACATGACTTGGTGTGACGTCAGCGTACTAAATGAAACAATTTGTCCAGTCCAAAACACTGAATGTACATCCCATATAATGTCCAAAAATTGGGCTCGATTAGCACCAAACGATATCTCGACGATATCTCTACTTACGCGCACTTTAACCTCTGAAAATATCCCACTGATAAGCCTTCCCATAAATGCTTATTAGGCCTGTTTTTCTTTCATAAAAACAAGAAATGAGATTTATATAGCGCCCTTCAAGACACCCAGGGGCTCTCTTGAGTCTTTAAAACAAAGTAATTATTCATCTTTGAAACAAATGTGGCGAAGGAAGTGTCTTTTTAAAGACAAGGTACATTTTTTTTTTGAATGTTGAAGTCATGTTTGTGGAAGTGGGCACCCAGGATTTTCATTGGATTGGATGTTTTTATTCAATGAAGTCGATGTTCAAGTGACCACTTCAGATAGTAATAAGCTTTTATAGTTGCTGTGCAAAACTTCTTTAACTTTTTTTAGGGATGCACGGCACACAAAAAGTTGACAGCCACATAGTTTTTGGTATACCCAATGATCACATGTAGCAATTCACAAAGCTGCCAGCTGGTATGATCCAAAGCTTATTTCATTGTTGACACAAATTTTTGGTCTGCTGATCACAGCGAACATTGTCATTTTACAAAGATGCCTCATGGGGAGAATGCAGTGATACTCCACCATTTGTTTTCTGCCAGACAAAGCGACATCGCACTGGTAATGATGCATCGCAGCCTAACAGGTTGTTGGTTTTGCCACCCGGTGGAACTCATCTATCCAAGAAACAGAATTCGCATAAAGAGAAAGTTAATTTCCATGAATTCCTTGTATATAACCTTCAGCTACTGTATGTTAATAAGGTTCTCATTTGACCATGTGTCCTTTCAAATTTGCATTTGATGACCCAAACATTTGAATGCTCCTGTTGTGCCGAAACTGAACGTTCCAAGATTAGCTTCAAAACGTCGTCAAATACGAGACGCATGTGAAATATTATCTAGGAGATGCGGCCTCACTGGAGTTGGAGCAAAATATGTTACACCACATTGCCGTCTTTGTGTGTGTGTGTTTTTTTTTGTTTTTTTTTTTAATTAAAAAAACTTCTACACATCTGCCTTCAAGCTTGTTGGCACATATTTCAGTTTTGATACATTAGTCTCATGCGAGATCTCGGTGCGACGTGAGACGTCATGAATTTATGGGGAAAAAGACATATTCAAAGTAACATAGTTTATGGTTTTAGGAATCAATTTGGGATTATAAAAAGGAAAAATCGATTCCATTTGATGAACCACTTTTTAAAACCCAGCCCTAATGGATAAGGGTACTGAACTATTGACCACTGTGACCAGGCAAGACAAATGTCTCTGTTTTGTCAAAAAACGTTTTGGAAACTTGCACTTTGTAGTTTGGATTTGAAAAACAAGATTAGGGATGCGCCACACTTAACATGCACTGTGTAGACCGACATATACATATACATTTTTGTTTAATGCCTTCTGAGTAGGGGACCATGAAACTACACCCATTCACTCATTTTCCCTTTCCTCTGCAAGCTATTCATTTTGGGCTCATAAGCAACAGACAAACCTAGCCATGGGCAACATTTCTCCACTCAAATCAATATTACATGCATACATGTCAGTTCAATAACCATGTT